TGATCAGTCAACCTATTTTCATGAAAAAAGAAAGAGGAAGGACTTTGGAAACACTCAAGCAAAAGCTCAGTGATGCATTCCTGACGCAGAAACAGGCATTCAAGTTCTACATTGAAGACAGAAACTGGAAGATTTACAAAAAGAAACTTGTAGATGATATTATAAAACGCCGAAAGAGACCACATTGTACAACATTTGATGACGTACCCGTTGTAGTTAGAAACGATAATGCACATTACTTTGAAAAATATGACTGAAACAAGTACAGCATCTATTTTTATGAATTGAAGAATACAAATAATAGTAATAATAGTATCACATAAAATTTAAACTGATTAATATACACTGTACAGTGAAAGCTACCTTAAACAGATCCCTCATTAAATGAACACCCCATATTAACCAGATACGTTTTTTCTCAGTCCAAAGCTTTTCTTCTCATATTACCTTTCTCAAACAGAATCTGCTAATACTGTAGGGTATGCACACAACATTAAGAGTCTTGAACATGTCTGCAGAGCATGGTCTCACTTTCAATCACCTGTGAATGCCTCACGGAAGAAGATATGTGTGGTAACTTCTGTCATCTTTTCCAACAATGGGCAAGTTACACTTCTTATGCACATCACAGGTCTCTGCACTTCTTTCCATTTGAGTAATTTGCTCTGGCAAATCTTACTAGGATTTCTTTAGATTTGTCCATCACTGTAGTCCTCCTAAATTTGACTTCAGAAAGTGTGCCCCTTTCTAATAAAAAGACAATACAGTAAAACAAGAAGAATAAAGACATTTTATTATCTTCATTAATCCCCCCCCAACCCATATGTGAGTGGTTGTAGATAAACGGAAAACTCTATCCAGCTTTATGCATCAGTCAAATGTAACTGTGGTTGGGTGCTGTTGGATTTGACTGATGCATTAAAGGGAGGTTTTTTTTTTTTTTTCTTTCTCGAGAATTTCAGAGTGCTTGGAAGGCCTTTAAAATCTTCAGAAAGTCTTAGGATGTCTTCGATCGAGTTCTCTACGAAACATTCTGGACTTCCAGCTCGGGATAAAAATCTTATGCCTTTTTCAACTAATGCCATCCCACCTTTTTTTGTGTTTAGCGTCGAATGCGTTTTCTGATATTGGGTCGGTCGGTCGGATTGAAAAAAAAAAAAACCTAAAAAGGAATTCACATGAAGTCTCGGAATAGTAGGCCCTGGTACCCCAGGACGACGTTAAAAGTTAACATTCACATATTTGGATTAACAAAATGGACAATATACTGTAAAAAATGTTCATGTTTTTGTTCCTGTTGTTCTCTATGCTGTTACTATGCTCATTTTTCAGATTAAAAGAATTATTTCAAGTGAAAAATGGTTTAACTACATCGTTACTTTTTGTTTTGTTTTGTTTTGTTTTGTTTTTTTTTTTAAACGCCAAAAATTTGGGTCGGTCAGACGACGCTTAACGGAGAAAAAGAAAATGGTCTAAGAGTCAGGGTGAAGAGTATGGCAGGCGTGTACATGTACGCCGTATATTAGGTGAGGGTTAACCAAGAAGAACATAAAAAAATGGTGAAGGGTTCAAAACAATAAAACAGTAGAACTGTTACAAAATTGATGTGAGAGTACCTCGTACTGTTCCTTAATGACTTTGATTTCCACTTCATCCCTTTGCTGTTCGAACTCTCGTCTGATCGTCCGCCGAAAAAAATCATAATCTGTGTACTTCAGTGACTTTCCTCGCTTTAAAATCTGCCTGTAAAGCAGTAGAACCTTATTCACTGAGGGAGACAGCGAAGGCAACAAAACAGACAAAGTTGTCAAGAAATATCTGACCATTCACGTGTTGAAGGAAGGAGATTTCTTTGGAGTAGGAGAGGATTTAAAGAAAACATACATCATATCCGTTGGAAGGGTAAGTATGGAAACAGGGCGCTTCGATACAACGTTATCTCGTTACAAAGTTGTTTCGATACAAGTCGTTTTTATACGACCTCAAGCACCAAAATAACAAGTAAAACATTGACCAACACTTGGCGCGAGTATTCTACTTTCTTTAAAGCAAGTATGTAACACTACAATTTATTTACACCTCGTCTGAATAAACTTGTATCAAAGCAACTTTGTATCGAAACGAAGAGTAACCGTAAGCACGAGTAACGGTGGACGAACAAAACTACATGTAGAACAACTAAGGATTATGTGCACTGGTAAGTAGTTTTGCTGCACAATGCATGCAACATCAAAAACAACGAACTTCGATGTGACAATAAGCACTGTCTGCAACTAGCAAAGCTACATTTTGTATTTGAGGTGGATAGAGTATCAAATACAGATGGGTTCAAAGCTTCCTAAGTTAACAGCGATTTTTGTCAAATAAAAAATGACACAGAAAAAAGGCAAAACAGCTAAAACGAAACACACATAAAAGCGACAAAAAATAAATTGCAATCAACACATGTCAATCAGTTACCAGAATGAGAGGTCTGGGGGCTATTTTAGACCATATTTTGATGTTTTTACCCTTGTATTCTAACGAACCACTTGATGCCAAAAAAGATGATTGATGGCAGGGGTTTTGGGGATATTTCAGGCCATATTTACCCTCTGTGAAAAACCACTTGATGCAAAAGAATAAAAAAATGAAAATATAAATAATAATAATAATAATAATAATAATAATAATAATAATAATAATAATAATAATAATAATAATAATAATAAAACAATTCTCAAATTGCTAGAGTGTTTTAAACTCCACAGGTTCACTGTGTGCTGATCAGTCAACCTATTTTCATGAAAAAAGAGAGAGGAAGGACTTTGGAAACACTCAAGCAAAAGCTCAGTGATGCATTCCTGACGCAGAAACAGGCATTCAAGTTCTACATTGAAGACAGAAACTGGAAGATTTACAAAAAGAAACTTGTAGATGATATTAT